ATTCTATGGAAAGAATTTAATAGTCAACTACAAGAGACATATTGAATTCCAAATAACCAAAAACTAACCTTTCCAAGTTTATGAAATAAAACCTACTGAACAAAAGAGGACAGATACCAGTATAATGATGTGGTTCAAAAAGACAAAAAAATCAACAAATAAATTTTAAAACACACAATTGGAGAAATAGACTTAACAGGTTTCTAGATAGTGTTTTGTCCAGCAACAGAATGCATATTATTCTCAGCAATAGAAGGAATTTTTCCAATATTGGCCGTGTCTTAGGCCATAAAATACACTTAAATACAAAAAATTAATAATCTCTTGAATGATATTAGACCACAGTGTAATGCATCTCTAAATCAACAACAAAAGAAAGTTCAGGGACTAAAGAAAAATATGAAGAGCAAATAATAATAATGAATAGTCAGTGAATAATCAGTGGATCATAGAAGGAATCAGGAAAGAAATTATGAAGTTCATAGAATAAAATGACAACGAAAGCACAACATACCAGAACCAACAGGACACAAGAAAGCAGTTCTAAAATGAAGTTTTAGCTGTGAAACAATACATTAAAAGAATAGAGTAGTCTAAAATAATCTAATGATGCATTTAGATTTCCTAGATAAATAAGAACAAGCTAACTCTGGAACTATAAGTAGGAAAGAAATTACAAAGATCAGAGCAGAAATTAATAAGATTGAGGGGGAAAATACAAAGTTAATGAATGAGTTGGTTCTGTGAAAGGATAAATATTGGTAAAGCCTTAGCCAATTTTTCCTCAAAAGGGGAAGATGCCATATCTTTGCAATTAGAAATTAAAAATGTGAAATTGTAAGAATTTAGTGGAGTACCAAGGAGAACCTAGAAGAAATTTAGATATTCCTAGACACATACTAACTACCTAAATTGACCCAAGGAGATAAGAAAACTCTGAAGAGACAACAGCCAATGAAAAAGAAGCAGTAATAAAAATTATATCAACCAAGAAAACTTGAGGACTGGGTAGATTCACAGCATAGTTCTACCAGAATCTCAAGGAATACCTAGCACCAGTTCTAAAACTATTTCATAAATTTGAGGGAGAAGCAGCACTGCTGAACTCATTCATGGAAGGAAGTATTTCTCTGATATCAAAACTGGGCAAGGATTAAAAAAGAGGAAGAAAATCACAAGTCAATCCCCTTAAAGAACTTAGATGCAAACCCTCAAGAAGACCCTGGCAAACAGAATGCAATTCATCATTACAATGATCACACATCATGACTGAGATGAACAATCCAAGGGGTCTAAATATAGCTCACCACCCATTTATGATCAAAACCCTGAAGAAAATAGGTTCACAAGGACATTATATTATCCTGTAAAAAGGTATTTATGACAAAACACTGCCATTTCCTCTAAAATTGGAAACAATACAAGGGTGTCTGCTTTTACCATGCTTCTTCAATGGTGATTAAGACTTTAGCCAGAGCAATGATTCAAGAGAAAGAAACAAAAGAGATCCATATAGCAAAGGAAGAGTCAACAATCTTTGTTCATATATATGATCCTTTTCATAGAAGAGCTATTATATTCTACCAGTGACTCTTAGAACTAAGAAATAAATTCAGCAAAATAACAGGATAAAAATTACTATATAAGAATCAATAGCATTCCATCAAGGATGAAGTCACCAAGAAAGTAATCAGGAAAGCAATTCTATTTATGGTGGCATCAAAGAAATGCCTAGGAGTTAATGTTACCAAGGATGTAAAAGAATTTCATAAGATAAAGCATAGTGTGGTTGAAAAAATGGATCAAAGGAAACATCTGAAAATGGAAATTTATCCCCTGTTCCAAGAGAGGAAGAACTAATATTGTTAAAATGGTCATATTACTGCTAAGAGATATTTAATACAATTCCAAACAAAATACTAGCAGCAGTCTTCATAGAACTAGGAAAAGCAATCCTAAATTTATACTTCACCAATAAAATCCTGGAAGAGCCAAAGCAACAATGAACAAGAACAAGGTAGGTGGCATCATAATCTCAGATTTTAACTTATACTGCCAACCTCTAGTGACAAAACAATGTGACACAGGCACAAAAAGACATTTCCACCTATGGAACAGAACTGAGGATGCAGAAACAAAACCCAAGGAATATTCAACCTTCTAATATTTAATGAACATGCCAAAAGCATATTCTGAAGAAAATATAGCCTCTCTAAAAATGATGCTAGGAAAATTGCTCATTCACATGCAGAAAAATAAAACTGATCATGCACATGCAGAAAAATAAATCTGGACACATATCTCTTACTTTCTTCTAAAACAAAATCCAAGTTGATCAAAGACTTAGATATCAGAAGAGAAGTACTTTTTCTGCTGCAAAATAAACTAAGTGAAACTCTTAAAGATTTAGTCTTAAGCAAGGACTATCTAAACAGCATCCAAATTGGAGAAGAAGGACCACTGACAAACAACAAATACAGTTGTGTTAAATGAAACACTTCTGCATAAGAAGAAAAAACAATCAACAGAGTGTTGGGATGATCTACAGAATGAGAAAAAAAAATGCCAGTTATACCTCATGAAAGGATTAATATCTGGAATATATGAAGCACTCTAAAAAATTAGAACCCCCCCAAAAAGACCCAATAGAAAATGGGGATTAAAATGAATAAACATTTCTCAAAAGAAGAAGTACCAATTTTTAGCACATTTGCCACTGGTGAAATAAATGTCAATCAAAACAACACTGACTCCCTCTCACTGCACAAAGAGCGTCTGTGTCAAGAATTTAAACAACAACCAATTCTGGTGAGATTGTGGGAGAAAGGAACCCTTTTGCACTGCTAGTTGAATGTAAACTTTACAACTATGATGGAAATCAGCATGTAGTTTCCTCATAACAACTAAAATTATAAATTCCATTCAACCTAGCTATACCTTTTTAAACATCTTCTCAAAAGAGTTAAAGACAGTGATAAATGTGCATGCCCATGCTTATGGCAGTGCAATTCACAACAACTAAATCTTGGAAGATGTCTTTATGCCCCTCAACAGATGAATGAATTTTAAACATGTGGTGTATATACACAATGGAATATTACTCCACCATACAAAAAAGGCAAAATGTGAGTCATTTATATGGAAATGGAAGCACTTGGGGAATGCAGTGCTTAAGGTCATAAATCAGACACAGAAGATCAAATATTATATGAAATTCATTTTTTAAAAAAGTAGAAAAGGGATGGTCTCATAGCTCAGCAGACTAAAGCGCCTGCTTCAGCAGAGCGCACCGCCAGGGTTGGATCCCCAGGCCTACCATGCCAGCCCCGCCTGCGGGGTACGCTAAGACAGTGATTGAGACTGGGCATGATGGCATGCACCTGTAACCCCAGAGCTTGGGAGGCTGAAAACAGGAAGATCACTACGAGTCCAATCTGTGTACTGAGACCCTGTAGACCCTGTATCCCCTGTACTAAATGCATAAAAAGAAAAAAAAAAACCAAAGTATAAATAATTTAAAGTGCCAAATACAAAATAAAGAAAAAGAAAGTTTAAACTTGTGGAGATGAAAAGCAGTCCTAGAGAGAGGGGAGAGAGGAGGGAGACAAAGGTAGATTAAATTGAATTAAATGTGTTGTGTACATACACCAATTTTTTATAATAAATGCGTTCATTATGTATCACAAACATTTATCTACAGAAAAACACATGTAATGCATTTGCTATAAAGAATTGAAAGAAGATACAGTAAAACAATTGTTAGTATATGTGATCTAAAATAGCTAGGGTCTTCTGTAGTCAATAAAGTCTTACAAATTAATAAAATCACAAAAAGTCACTTAATATGTGAAGCAAAATCATAAGCAGTTTATTGTATGTAAAAATATATTCCAATGACTCCCAAAGCCACTAGTATAGTCTAGAATAATTAATGCTTATAGAATAATTATTTTATTATTATGGGATAATAATAACTAAAGATCTTTATAAGAGAATGTGAGAAAGGTTTTCTTAATTCTAGGTAGGAATACAAATTGACAAAGGACCATGTAACATTTCTGTTAATGTATTTTATCATTTTATGTGTTTTATTTTTCCTTTATTATAATAATAAGATAAAGCAAAAAAAAAATGTTCGTCTTCAGGACAAATATATCTCACTGAAGGTTAGAGTGGTTCCAAGCATGAGGAAGACCCAACACACCAGAGCTGATTTGGCGATCGGAGGGGCCACCCGGCAGGGCCTGCAGGCAGTCGCCAGAGCAGAGATCAGACTGCCGGTGGCCCTCAGGGAAACAAGACCGTCAGTTATAAAACTACAAGGATCAAATCTGGTCAAAACTGAAACAGCTTCGCAGTAAATTCATTCTGTATTCCTTGGGGAAGAACACAGAGGTTTGGCATCTTGGCTTTTATTCTGCCAGATCCGGAAGAGAGGAACCAACTGAATGATGTATTTCCCACATTTCCGGCAGAGAAATATTTAAGTAGGAAACGAGTACTACGTTCAGCTGCCAACTTCGTGTGATTTGTTGTATAGCTGTCGAAAAGTAATAGAGGCAGAAAATCGTCTAGTTCTGTTTAATTTCTGGCAGAGAAAATTTTCTATTTGGAAGCTTAAAACTAAATTCCTGATTATCTTTTATTTTTTAATATGAAAAACTTATATGTTGCTGAGTTAACACACCTATAATATTCAAATACAGAACTAAACAAAAAAAAGGGGATATAGATGAATGTCCATTTGGTATATGTGTATTCAAAATGGTTAGGATAGATATATAGTTACATTCTCTTAATGAATAGAGGGATTTGCTCTAATGGTGTTTGTAAATAGAATATCATGTCCTCATCTTGTACAGCAATTAACCACTAAGAAGAATGTATGCAGTGTGTTAATTATTGAAACTGACCTACTGATTTGATTTGAAACTGTCTCATTGCTATTTGTTTCTCAATAAAATTATGGGAAAAAAATTTTAAAAATATGAAAAACTTACTGTTCTCGATAAAGCCGAGACTTCATCTGTTGATGATTTTGCTTCCCTTAGTACTTCTGTTACTGCCTCTTCACTCTCCTCGATATTTATTTTAACGTCTCCTATTTTTGAACTGTAGTGACTACGCAGATTGTTTAGTTTATCAACCTCTTTCCTAGGAGAAAAACACACTTGTTTGTATCCACATTTAAAAAAGTGGTACTGGATGTCTAAATTCATGTCTTCCATCCCACAGAAATTCCCAATTTGTAAAACAACACTTAGTATTAATAGTAAGAGGAAAACCCAACAGTATAAAGGGAAAGAATAACAGAAAAGTAATTCATAAATTATTTATACCAATAATCTTCTTACTTGATTTTCATGGTGAGACTTCAGCACCTTTGATTCAAACCACATTCAGATTAGAGAAATAAGAGGAAAATATTGTCAAGAAGTTCTTCCTATCTGAAAGACTGTCAGAAAAACCAATACTAATCTGTGAAGTTAGTAAATATCTGATTTTATAAGCAGAAAGCACATTCCAAATGAAAAGAAATTCCTTAGAAAATATCAGTTTAGACAGTGAAAAGATGACAAAAAGACCATTTTCATAGATCTTAGCTGGGAATACTACTTTTTTTTCAGATCCTATAAAATAATAATAGATTAAAAGATTTGCCTGAAGGGCTGGAGATATATCTCAGTGGCATAAGCACCTGCCTGACAAGTGCAAGGTCCCAAGTTCAATCCCCAGGACCATACACATGCACACACACACACACACACACACACACACACACACACACACGAGATTAGCCTAAAAACCCATAAACATATACGGAATGTTTTATGCTATTACATTTGACTAATCAACATTGTTAAATAATTATCTAATTGACAGATACAAAAAATATCTACTAGAAGTTCACAAGAAATCAAATACTAATTACTAAGAAACATAAGATGATATTGTTGAGTTGGTACAGGTTCTCAGGCACCAACCAGGATTACATCAGGATCCATTACAGCTGAGAGACATAACCTCACTACAGAAGTGCAAATAAAGACAACGAAGGGGTGAAAACAAGATCCTTCTTGACCTTTCCATTCCTAGGATTATACAGGCTTACTGGTCAGAATTCAAGCAGCCCAGCATTCGAAATGTATAAGTCAGTTTGGTTAAGTTCTCTTTTGCAAAATAAACTTTCCTCCTTTCACTGACATCTATAGACCCTAGGCCCGAGATGAAGTACAGGCTTTTGCCTCAGATGTAGACTGGCTGATATACAATGAAGGCCTGCTTTTGTTGTTCCTTTGTTCCTGTCTGTTTATGAAGTTCATGCCACCAATTCCCGAGCATTTTGAGAACATTTCAGTGTACAAATTTGCTACTATGCGTGTCCCACAACTGCTAGTTTAAATTTTGTAGTTCTCATGTCTACTATACAATAATACAATTAGAGGAATAACAGGGCTGGTTTGGACAACTGTACAGTGCATTTCTGCTGTCTATGGAAAGAAGCAGGCAATGCTTTAATTTGTTCTCTCATTTTTCAATTGTTTCTCCTTTTTGTTTTCTTAATTTCTTACACATTTCTTTCTTTTTTTTTTCTTTCTTCTACCAAATTTACATGCATATATCTGGTGATATGAATAACTGGTTGGAAGACAACACTATGCATAGCAACAAATACTGCAAAATTTATATTACTTTGTTAAGTGAAAATTTATATCACTTGTAATTTTT